GTTATAATTAATTAATTGTAGCCGATAGTTGTTGTTCAATAAACCAATTAACGATCTCTATGGCGTCTTCAGTTACGAAACATGTTACAATATATATATATATATATACACGTTACTGTTAAAATCTTAAATCCAACAGACTTCTACAGGACACCCTGTTTTTCACTCCTTTAATATATAGCAGAATCAACATGTTGTGTGATGGCATAAAGACATCTAATCTATATACACAACAGGATGCATAACATAAAAATATATTATTTTATTTGTTATGATATTATTTTCATGACTGTACCTTTTAAGAACAGAACGTTATGTCTAATGGTTACATATAACAGGATATAGAAGGCTAAGGCAGTGTTCATGATGACACCAACTGAAGCAATATTTGATATCTTTACCTCGAATTCAACTTCTTTTATAATACTGTTTATTCTTCCTTTTAGGGTTCCTGTCTGTAATGGTAGGTATGATCTCTTGTAGCGTGCTGCATTGTTTGTTCCAAAGATTTTTCCATCTAACTTCACTTGTCCTTGAACTTTCAAATCCAGTCTGTAAGGAAACAAATAACAGTGCCATGTAATTGTAACTGATTGACAGCCTAGATTTATCAGCTTCTGCCATCAACTGTTGCAAGTCATCAAATAATGGTTCAGAAAATTTTTAACGCATTATGCTATTGAAACCACAGGATCTACTGAAATTATGTCAAAAGATAATAGTCCTGCAGGCCTTAGATGATTGAGATCTCTGAGGTCCATAATTTTCAATTTCCAAACATACAGACAGAAGAATGAAACTGAAAGGATTGGACTGGCATTGTAAAACATATCCATTACACAGTATTAAAAGGTGAGAGTAAATATAATGCACATGAGAGAAAAAAAACAGAAGAATAATGTGAAAAAAATTGCTATTTTATGCCTGCAGCTGTACTATTTGTTCAGTGTGCAGGGTGTAAGATAAACTATAAAGGCACGGATTAGTTACAGTGGAAATTTATTTATAGATTCCTCATTAGAATATTGTGATGTGTCGCGCTATCTGGACCCCTGCCCCCGGGAGCGGTGACGCGCCGAGCACAGCCGAAGTAAGTCAAGTCCCAGCACGCTGGTTGCTATGCAACGTGGGTAAACAGTGGTTGCGAGAGACAACTCCCGACAGTGTTGCTAGCAACACGGCACCAGACAACAGTGGTGCCTATTACGTGGCTGTTTTCTGTGTTGTCCGGAACGGGGCTAAATAAGGAGCAGCAAAGACTATTCAAGTCAGTTCTCAGTATTCAAGTTCTCGAGCTACGAGTTACGAGTTGGCCAGTGAAGAGTACGCAGTCTAGTATTTGTGATACTGCAGAGAGCAGTAATTGTGGATCTGTAAATTGTGTGATTGTAAGAGCAAATGTGGAATAAAATTCGCTATATCCAGTACAGCGTGAAGTTATTTGTCGCGTTATACACCCAAGACACGTGACAACATAGTTATATTCCTTATTTAAAATTTCATGGCCTTCATTTCAGTTGTACACAATAAGTAAATATGGTGCTTAGCAAGATGTCTGCTCTTGGTCACTATAAATTATATAGAACATACATTACCTAGTAGCAGGATGTGATCCCAGTATTTCCAAGTTGTAATGTTTCACATGCCCCTGTGAATTATTTTGCACTTTCCCAGACAAGGATAGCTTTTTGTTGATGTCCGTTGAGTATTCCAGGTCAGCCATCACATCTACCAGATCCTTTTCATCAGCAGAATACTGGCCATTAAGTGTCACATCCTGAGAAGCACAGTTAAATTTTATGTAATATTTTTGTAGAAATTATGTAATTTTTAGTATAAATTGCTGTCTTGAATATTTTTGTGGCTTTTATTATTCCCTTCAGCTGAATATAAAGTCATGACATAAATTTAAGAAACAAATACTTCCTCTCAATTCATCATTGGTAATCACCCTACAATATCCTACCTGACATCAGATAACCCCTGCAATTGACACATGTCATAAACTATTTGAAGGAAAAGTAGTAAATATTTTGAAACTTATCTGTGCAGAAATCCTAGTAATGAGAAACATTAAAGAAATGTAACTTGTTACATTATGAATGTTTGATTTGTATTTGTAACAACTGTGCCAAAATAAAATAATGAAGTCACTATATCTCAGTAGGTAATTAGTGAATGGAAGAAATTTAATAACAATGAATTCTTTGAACTATACTCCTCTATCAATATTGTGCTTAACTAATTAAGAACAAAGCCGTGAGTGAATATGGGAGAGCGGATGTACACATTACGTTTGCTTGACCTTGACACTAGTTGGAGATGAGTGGTCAGCTTTATGGTCTGGCCACTTTACCCCCAAGGAAAGCCAAGTACCTGGATAGGAGGTTGGGTGGACCCCAGAGCTAGGTTGGATGATGCATTTTGATTTATGGGGAAATGAAATAAAGAAAGAAAGAAAGAAGGAAAGATAATTGGTCATAAGTGTGTAAATTTATAATGCATTTAATTCAGTTAATTTGGGTAATTTGAATGAAATTGTATTAATTTTAAGTTTTTATAGTGATGTTCTTTTTAAATTATGTTTATCAATTATAATTGTAATAAGTTTTTTATTCTATTATCTATGTTAATTGACTAATGTATGTGATTTTAATTATATAACTTATGTAATTTATTATATGTATCTGGACACATCTATTATCAAAGGGACTATTTCCACATCCTAGGTTTTTTACCTGTATGGATATATGGACAATAAAGGAAATGAATGAATGAGAAAATTCTTGACCCTACAGAAACTCAAACTCCAACCTCTTGGTCATCCAGCTCGTAGCTAGTTGTTATATAGACTACACTATCCTGGCTTATTCAGTATTGTTGGGACAGTCATGTAAAGGTGACGATGGACTGGATATTAGGCTCAAGCGGAGGAAACAACAAAAATATGCATAAAGTGAGGTAATTTTTTTCCTGAAGTGGTTACCTAGTCCCTCAAATTCTGAAATCTATTCAAATAATATTTAAAAATTCAGTTCATAGTTCACAGAAAACATACTGTACTCCATTACAAAGACCAGAAAGTTATTTCTATACTTACTTACTTACTTACTTACTCATGGAGCTGAGCCCTCCTGGAGGAGCCACCAATTCTGCAGCTACTCAAGAATTTCCCAGCATTTTATGGAACCCGAAGGTTCACTACCGTGTTCACAAGAGCCCTATATTTCTATACAGGGAAATAATCACTATTTATTTTAAGAATCATATAACCCCCCCCAAAATATTTTGTGGGTAAAATGCAGGGCCTTTTAATGTTAAAGCAAGTGGTAAACACACTTACCTCCTTCATTTAAAGTGCCAAGAGACCAGGATATAGATGGGAGGATAATATTGAAACTGATATGTAGGAAACAGGCTGCAGAAATTTGAAATTTATTGGACTGAACTGGCTCCAGGTAGTGTCCCCTGCCAGTTTAGCAGTGTTAAAACTTTGGTGTTTAGTACCAATAAGCAGGTGAGTTAAAATGGCTATGAAACTTTTCTCTTGATTTTTTTAAATGTTTTGTTATTTGTAGAAAGAAAGATAGCATTATTTGTTCAAGGAATTATCCAGTACTTTGCCATGATGAACCTCAGTCAAGATAGACTGTTCACCAGCTGAAATTTACACTGAATAATTTTTAATAGGAAGCAGGATTGATATCATGCATTTGGTGATATATAAATGTTATAACATTTGTGCCTTGCTTACCCTTATGAAAGATGGATGTTTGATGCTAACAACAGCATGATGCTTGCTGGGGTATATGCTCAATCTCTTCCAGTCAAAGGATGCACCAACTGTTTTCTTCCTAGCTTGCTTGTCCCAAATAAATGTGATTTCTGAGGAAAGTGAGTTATTTGACCTCTGATAATAACCAAAGGTGGTGAAATTTCTCTTTGGATATGCAAAATTCAACTCCATATGTTCTTCTTCTTTATCATTCTGAAAAAAATTCCAGGTTTAAACATAAATAATCACTAGGGCCGTGCCATAGTTCAAGCAGTTAGTCGCTGGCTTCCCATCGCGGTGACCCGGGTTCGATCCCGGGTATGGTCAAGTGGGATTTGTGGTGGGAAAAGTGGTGCTCGGGCAGGTTTCTTCCAAGTACTTCAGTTTCCCCTGCCAATCTTCATTCCACCAATTGCTCCACAATCACCATCACCTATCATCTGGGGCTGGTACAATAGGCCAGAAGTGGCTGCAGTACAAGGGACTTAGTCCCACCCCACTAGCAAATAAAAAAAAATACTCACTAAACTCAATTCACATTTCATCTTTATTATCACAAACTAATATCTGTTGTCAGTTACAAATATTTGGTGAATGTTTTGGAAAACAGTTTTAGTGACAGTTTCAGCATTATATTGTTTTCCCAGGTTAATGATGTGAATAGAAATTTCTATGCCACATTGGTATCTCTTATTGCATTATTAACAAAACTTGATTATTTACTCTGAAAAATAAATTTACATATGTAAATTAAACAGCCATTTCCTTTCAAATTTAAGCAAAGGATATGTATAATGCATATCTTTATGATACATTGACACTTAACACATAACTGACAGATCAGACCTAGGTAATTGCTGGTCCATCAAAATCAGCCCCTAAATTGAAAACTTCATTTCCTCAATTATTTGGGGGGGGGGGAAACAGCTACAGAGATGCATGCATAAGTTCATTAGTCATTCAGTTATACATTAAACAAAATATGAGAGTTGGTATAATTTAAGCCATGCCATGGCTCAGGCAGTTAGTCATCAGCTTTCTACTGTGGGGGCCTGGGTCTGATTCCATGGCAGGTATTGCATGATTTGTGGCAAAGAAAGTAGCTTGAGGAAGGTTTTCTCTGAGGACTTCAGTTTCCCCTGCCAGTTCTCATTCCACCAAACATTCCGTACTTATAAATCATTCGGGACTGGTACAGTAGGCCAATACACCAAGTGTAGTAAGTCCCAAACCACCCCACAAAATAATAATAATAACAGTATAACTTACTGTGGTTTTGTTGACTATAGTGAGATCATAACTTGCCCAGGATTGTGGATCCAGGTGTATAACAGTCTTCTGTTTGAATTCATGGTCCAAGAAATCGTAGTCTGTCTTGAGTCTAACAGTTCTATTTGTATGAATTGCTGAAATATGGTACATATTTCATTAGTACTGTTTAGCACATTCAAGGAATGCCAAAAAGTATGGTGCAGAAACCAAGTTATTAAGTAGCAGATATTATTATTATTTGGAGGGGGTGGGTTTCCCCATGCACTGCGACCATTTGTTGATCTATTGTGCATCCCCCTTTAATTATTCTAACTAGTCGCCATGCCCTTCCAGTACTGGTGCTTGCTATCAGCCCCGTTCTGCCAGTGAGGTTGGCCCTATCTGGTAGTGGTCCCCGATACTTCCCCATCTACTGGAGGAATTGGAAACTACTTGCCTGGGAAACTTTACCTAATTTTGCTCAGAGGTCTCCTAGAGACATGAGGATCTTTTACGTGCCGTAAATCTACGACATGGGACATACGGCTTAAAGTCCCTCCCGGAGGACTTGTTCCCTGAATTTTTCCGCCCTTAAAAATTCCACGACCTCCGTCGGGTTTGAACCCGTGTACCTTGAGTCATGAGGTGGGAACGTTACCCCTAGACTACGGAGGCCGCTCTTATGTGTGCATAGGATGCCTACTAATTATAGAGTATAGAACATTCAAACTGTAACTTTGATATTTTGTAATATGTTCTACAGAGCCTGGGCATCAGAGAGTATCTCTGTTATATATTTATTTGGGCCATGCCATAGTTCAAGTGGTTAGTCGCTGGCTTCCCACCGTGGTGGCCCGGGTTCGACCCCGGGTCTGGTCAAGTGGAATTTGTGGTGGTCAAAGTGGCACTGGGGCAGGTTTTCTCTGAGTATTTCGGTTTCCCCTGCCAATCTTCATTCCACAAATTGCTCCACAATCACTGTCACCTATCATCTGGGTCTGGTACAATAGACCAGAAGTGGCCGCAGTACAAGGGACTTAGTCCCACCCCAATAGCAATAAAAAAAAATATTTATTTAAATTATAACCCCCAGAACTTTTCTTTCAGGATACTTTAAAAAGAGAAACATTTATATCCTCACATTCATATTTCATACTAATCTCTTCTATAGGCAGTGGGCATGATGGGTAACAATAAAAGGCTAGAGAAATGTATAAAAGAAGAATAAGTAAGGCTACAGTTTTGCAGACTGTTGCTAGTAAATATCAATACCTGTCAGCGTAATTTCTTGTCCAGTGAGTGTTGAATGAACCAGTATTTCACCAGTCAAGTGGAATTCACTTTTATTATACAGCTTGAAAATCTCAGCTTTCTTCAAGTCCTGAGGAATACAAATGATGTGCAAAGGTGTAGATATGTTTTCCATTTAAAAATATTTGCCCATACATAGGAAAACCCCATTTAATGTTTCTCAGAGGAGAGGTGGATATGAACATTAGCTGAGGAAAATCTTAAATGGTGGAAATTTAGAATTAAGATTACTGGCTTGCAACCATTGAAACTGAATGTTAGATGAGGGAGAATCTCACAATGAGAAACAATAAATGGAAGTTCCACTTTATTATGAAACAATGTGTATATTATAATCATGGTGATTTCATGACAAGGGCTTCAATTTCTCGATGTTAACTTCAACATTATATTATTCCCACAGTATTGAAGCCAGTGTTTAAAAGATCAATATCTACAAAAATCATTGTAGAGGGTCATAATCTACTGTTTATATTCAGTCAAATCATCTTGAATTTGAATATTAATTTTCAGGAATCCACATTTTTCTAGGTTATACATACCCATACACATCCTTAATCTCATGAACCTCTGTTGACAGATTTCCCAATATTCTTCTTCAGCAGCATTTTAACTCAGTGCAATGTTAATATACTTTATAAGATTTTTATCTTTAACATAATTTTATTTACTTCTCCATTTAATTATTGATTTTGAACAACTATTTCACTTTCTATGCTGCCATCTTAAAACGTATATATTTTGTTGTTAACTACTCTTAAGCCAGTTCCTCTCTGAATGCCTTAAAAGTAGCACATGTTCCTTTAATGTACATTACATTGTGGGGTTTTATGTCTTTGTTGTTCGTCATTACTACGATGACAACCCACTTCTTCGGAACAGTTCGTTGGTCCTGAAAAGGACCGTGGTTGCTGAGATGATTGACCGGTGAAGTGTGGCGCGCACCGGTAGGGAGAGGGGTTAGTTGCGGTGATTTGACTGGCCACAGTGCGGCCGTTGCTGGAGGTTGCTTGATCGCCGTGCGGCAGGTGAGTTGAAGTTGCGTGGTCATGCAGTGGGGTCGCAGGAGTGATGAGGCAGTGGCTACGCCAGATGCCCAGTGGGTCGGACAGGGACACGACCACCAGCGAGTCCAGGCAAGGTGCCCCAGTGCATTGGGTGTGAGAGCCAGAGGGCCGAGGCAGTCATGCCTGGCACAGCCTGCCGATGCCTCCAAAGACCGAGTGCTGGCAATGAAGCCTGCTGGCTGATGTTGCTTGAGTGAAGTCTGATCGAGGTCTGCTTGTCGACTGATGCTGCCGGTTCACGGCTGCTCCTTTTTATACTGCTCAGTGGGCGGAGCGAAACTTGAAATTGAGGAGGAAGAATTTGCAGGGCGCTGATTGGCTAGCACGCGTGATGATGTAGATGCGGGGCTAGCAGCGAGCGCAGTATAAATGCGAACGTTTGGAGCAATTTGATTGGTTAGCGCACGTGATGGTGAAAAGAGATGTGAAGAGTGTGCGTTGCAGAAAATGCGTGATAATGTGGGATGTTCCCACAACATAATGCTGTGACTGATTCACTCACAGTCAATAAAATCCCTGTTCTTTTATGAAACAAGAAGGTTCATTTCTACATACACAACAGCTCACCACTGAACCCTAACCTCAACTAGAATTCAGTCCACACCCTCATACCAATACAGTCTATTTCTTCAAGATACATTCTGATATTATAATCATTAACACCCGGGTATCTCAAGTGATCTTTTAACTATAATTCTGTATATATTTCATACATTGCCCTCCCAGACATCTCATCCTTCTTCATTTGATTACAATATGATGAACAGTAAAAATCATGAAGGTAAATATTATATAATTTTCTCCAATACTGTTTATCAGCTATGAATATTCCCTGCAGCACTTCAATTTCAAACACCTTAAACTGTAAGCCATAAATTTTCACTTTATATTTAGGAAGACGACAATTTAAATCATAATTCGTACTTACAGTTGTTGGTAAATTCAAGCCATCTGATCCTCCACTATACTGAAACTGATGGATATACAGAATACCCAGTGGAGTGTACGCATTATCAATTTCCATATTTATCACATCTTTATCAAATCCTGCAGATGAGTGTGATGTACAATTATAACGGCCTTCTAAAAACTTCCTGTTGTTGTACTCAATGAAAGAGTAACCTGTTGTATGAAGTGGTCCTTCCTGTTGAAAAGAACACAATCCAGAGATACTGGAAGTTGCCATGGTGGTGATTACAAAGATTATAGTCTTATGGAATGTGCTGGACTAGAAGGCACCACATCCCAAAAGAGAGTTATCTTCAACATTAACTTTATTCATACAAAAATGATGAATTCTGTCTATAGATGGTGCTGTTGTTAAAAGATTGAGAGAGACAAACTTTTTTCTCAAATGTGTGTTGATGTTATATATCAATTTTTGGTTACTAAGAAGGTTAAAGTTTCAAAATGTAACACTATGTAGTCTTGCCTTGTATCCATATACGAGGTTTCCTGTGTGTCTTGTTTGTAGTGGTATTTCAACACGAACAGAACCATTTATGCGAGTGTTGTAAGTTTTACTTTCATAAGTATACTTGGAATCAAACAGTGCAGTGTTGTTTGGCCAGAAGGCTTCTAAAAATCGTTGATGATGTAACCTGAAACACAGAATATATGACCTCTCAGTCTAAAGCTATATGATACTGCAGACAAAAATTAGACTCTTAACTATTCAATACACAATTTTATACAAATTTTAAAAGTGGAACAAAAAAGAATATGTCTGTCTGCTACAACTGCAATTACTCTGATTCTTAAGGGATACATAATGCATTCAAATGTTACAAAGAGATGGTTTCTAATCTCTTAATCAGCCTTCTCTATAAATTTATAAGTTTCACACCAACCATAATTCTAATAATTTTCTTTTGTAAACTAAGATATCTTTTGCTGCTACAAGAAAATTATTCCATACTTCAGTTTAGAGTGAAAATAGGCTAGATGGTTTGATGCATCAGTGTTGCTGATATATAACATAAATACAAGTACAAAAAGGGCTCTACTTAACTCAAGAAACAACTGATTGATGTGATTTTTCCAGTTTAAATAATAATCAACTGGAAAAAAACTAATTTTGTATGTACTCTCTTTTCTACATATTTTTTGTTATATTAAATACTTAATGGATATTGTAAAGAATTATTTGTTGTAAATCTTATTATATTTGTTATACCTAGATTCAGGGCCAGTTTGTTACCAGTAACCCATTAATATATATATATATATATATATAAGAGAGAGAGAGGTCTGTTTAATATACCTTTAAAATTTTTATTATAAATTATGACACTAGTATGATAAGCAAATATTACGGGTTTTGATAAGGTATTTATCAGCAGGGGAAGGTCATTTATGTAGATTATTACAAGCAAAAGTGCTAGGATTGACAACTGGGGAACTCAGTGTGTTTGGAATATATTGTGACATGATGGCTGAAAACCACAATAGGTTAACAAATATATGAGACCATTGCTAGGCAACGGCACGGTAAACACGTTTCAACAGAAATGAATAAACATGCAAAAATAAACAAATCCTTGAAAGCGGTGTGAGCTGACAGTCAGTCAGAGGTCAGAGTCAGTGGTTGGCAGAGTCTTAATTGCTAGCAGCCATTACCTAGCAATGAGCTGTGATGATAACAGAAAAACAAAAAAGAAACAGATTTTACACATCCTGTAGTTTTAGTGATCTACAGGATGTAAAATAGTAAGACTGTTAAAGATATTTGTAGTTACGAGTTATAAGCGTTCAATAAATCCAATTATCAATCAAAATCCTGTGTCTAGTCACTAACATGTGATGACATATATATGTATATATTGTCACGACACACTTGTTATCTTGTAGGAATACTGCCTTTAAAAAACAAAAGCCTAGTTAATACAGCTAGTCATGGGTGAAACCTGTACTCACACATGTGTTGTAGCTTTGAAGATGAGTCCAACATATGACAATGTGGAAAATGGTGTGGTTGTGTTGATCTTGCCATGCATGTTGGCAAAACTATTATAATCTATGTTACCTCCAGTGATGAAATGGCTTTCAGGACAAAACAGTGCACCCCTGCAAAGCAACGATGTCAGTTGAAAAATAAATAAAGGAAAGATTTGGTAAATGTTATTCTATGTTCCACAACTTATAATAAAAGTATATACATATATGATTATCTAAATGTGAGGGGTTAATTTCAATTACAAATATTTAACAAAATCACTATTAAAAATGGGGGCATGAAGTAGCATAGTTGGTTCAAACACTATGCAACAAGATGGAAGGTAATGGGTTCGATTTCCAATGGGGTATTTGGATTTTTCAATTGACCTAATCCTTCCAGCAACGTTATGGCCCTGGGGGTTACTCAGCCTCTAAGAGAAAATGGTACCAGAAATCTTGCTGGGGGTAAAGGGCGGCCAGAGCATAAGGCTGATACCCTCACCGCCTCACCTTGATGTCTCACAACCCTATGGGCCTCTGCGGCATTTTACAAGGATAGCTTTTTTTATTAAAAAAATGTATTCATATCTGCGATCAGGGAACTATATTGTCAACATTAAAATGAATAAAAGGAATTGGATATTTCTACAAACAGCACAGACATCAAACATAAGCAAATAAATACAGAGCAGTAGGAGTTTTTTGGAATTTCATAAGAGTACGTGTATGTGTTGTTAATCTTCTGATTATGGGTCACATTACAGCCTTTTAAATTTTGTAATTATATTCTGGACTTTGTTATTTTCAGTAGTCACTGATAATTCTGTGATCTACATATATCAGTCTATAATCTCAGCACATGATCAGCCCTAAGTTTCAGTAGAGTGGAGAACGATTGCTTTTCATAGTTATTCTGGTTATGACTGTCAGGAAAACATCCAAACTTCTTTGCTGGGAAAGGAAACCTGTCCACCCAATCCACACTTTACTGAAAATCTGTTACATGACACAGTTTCTTGAATATCTGCACAAATATTGGCAGCTCAGGATTATACTGTGGATTGAGTTGGTGTATGTATTATTTAGCCTAAAGAAAAATAAAGCCTCCATATAACTTCCAGCTACATTCTGAAATACTATAATGAAATGGTGCATACATATATGAGTGAGAGCATGATGATTTCAAAGAAGGTATCCAGCTTTCTGGGTGGGGGAGATGATGTTCTTAGAACTTATATTTAAGCAATTCAAGACTATTTTTACTGATAACTCAAGAGCATTCCGACAGGCCAACAATTTTTTTTCTGTATAGGAAATTTTGTTCAAAGTATTAATATTTGGTACAGGTGCTTCTTCTGTTTTCAGTTAACACACATTACTATTACTATATAAGTGCAAGTGTTACAGAATTGGAGGCTTTCATACAAAAAATGTGAAAATCAGAAAGAATGATGTAACTCTTCATGCACAAAATGCGTTGTGTTGAGATATTTATAAAAATAAATGTGAATATCTAAGATCTGACATTTTCATGGTTGTAAAGGATTGCTTTGTGGTCTCTGGTTTATGATAATGAGTAGCCTGTAGGTTAATATCAGTGTTTCCTGTAGATCGAGGTAATATTTCTCTGAAATATAGGGACCCATCTGTCAGACTGTATGCTGTCATAACCTGGAAAATCACATATAAAAAAATGCATATGCATATTTCGCACAGTTTTACTTTCTTTTTTTCCTCTGTGCATGATTGTGGATATTTTATATATTGCTATTCTGATGTGAGACTTCAGGTATTGATAAGAATTCTTACATTGTAAAGTTTAGTCACAATTCTGAAACAGATGCGAGGGTATTTTGCAAAACAAACGTCTGCATGGAATTTTATAAGTATGATAAGACTATGTGTGAAGAACATATCTTCTACTTTTAACCAGTTCATTGTTGTACTGTGAAATATATTCAAATACATCTCACTGGACATGTGTGCATGAACAAAAAGCATAAAAATAATAACTCAGATGGCACACTAACATACAGTACTCACTTACTAACCATCATTGTAAAAGCAGATGAAACTTACTTTATTTTGTGATAAACCTCATCCATATCATAAAACATTTTTGCTACCAAAGTAGATTCATTATATTTTGGTGTGTTCAAAATGTAGGTCAGATCAATTAATTTTCCTCCACGGTTCACTTTTATGATATTAGAAATTGATTTATAGTTGATGTTTCCCCATTTAAAAGTCAGATTTCCATCAATTTTATCTGACATTGCATTGAACTGTAAAGAAAACATTAAGTTATTTAAAAAAAAAGTAACTTTATATAATATACGTAACCTCCTCTTATCATTGTATTATTATAACTCAATGTTTTTTTTATATTTCTATAGTATAGAAATTAAACTGTTTAGAGGAGATTTAATATGAGATTCTGATCTGCTGGTTCATGAACAGAACATGTGAGCATACAGCACTACACCATTGCAGCAAGGGCAAGTAAACTGAACATCATATTGACTTGACAGGAGAAATTCATACTGTAACTGTGAACCATTTTCCTCTAAAATACTGGTAGAGGAATGTGACTATATTATACACAGCATCTAACATATAGAAGCAGATACGTGACTCTGTGTGAGGGATCAGTGCAACAAAAACTGTTTCTCATACCATCATCACACAGTCTATGCTACTGCATCAAAGATACTATGCATAAGACATAAACGCAAGGACGTAAATAAAAAACCTGTTACATGGAAAGAAACACCTATACCATCCAATCAACATCTGTTTGTGGCTTCAAAACTTTTGAAGGTCATCATATATGACATAAATATTCAGTAAGTTTGGCCACTTCTGTAATAGAGGGTGCTTATTCTCATAGCCGTGGGTCCCGTATCGTAGATTTACGGCACGTAAAAGATCCTCATGTCTCTAGGAGACCTCTGAGCAAAATTAGGCAACAATTTCCTGCCCAAGTAGTTTCCAATGCCTCTGGTAGATGGGGGAAATATCAGGTACCGACGGCCGACCTCGTTGCCTGGACGGGGCTGATAGCAAGTACCAGTAGGGTATGGCGACAGTAGAAATTAAAGGGGGATGCACAATGGACCAATAACTGGTCTAAGTGCATGGGGAAACCCACCCCTTCTAATAATAATTCAATTCAATTCAATTCAATTCAATTCAATTCAATTCTTTATTATTTATGTGCTGAGCCAACAGCCGTAAGGCCAATTATAGACTCAGCACAGTGTATGATAGAAGTAGTTACATACATAATAATAATAATAATAAATTTTATCTCATTGTGAGAGCCTAAAATAGATGTATGAGCTGGGAAGTATTATTGCCATTCAGGTATTTTGGTCTTAGAGCTTCATTTATACACCACATGTGGTTAGAATTACTCAAAATTCTCTTGTATTAAAAGTCAATAAAGAATCTAAGATGTAATACTTAACTATTTTTTGTACTTTATTGGTTATAAAATGTTTTATTTTCCTCCCCAAACTCTAATTATATCTTACTCATAGAACATACAATACTATGAATTCAAAATGGAACCGACATTACAAGAAAACACTGTGGGCACATATACCTAGAAAATAACCAATGTTAATTTCATTGTATAAGTAGTGCAGATGGAGAGACTGATTTTTAAATTACTAGATAACTGCAGAGTCTAGGGTTTCACAGTGGTTCAGTTTTGCTGTTAATTCTGTTCTCAGGCCTTTGTAACCTGTGGATGCAGGCATTGTTGCCAGTGTTTTGGAGATACCTGCTACCTCCATTCTCAGTGTCGAAATGAGTAGAATAAATTTTCATTTATATGCAGGTGGGTTCGACAGACTCATGGGGAGAAGGATGGAACCTTCTACCCATTTCCTTGTCTAGTATCCCTAATTAGCTTGACCCAGGCACCAACCATAACCTTCTTCCTGTTGGCCTGTTGGACCAAACCCTATACACAGATGAACATTCACTCACCCTATCCAGTTTTGATTTCCTACACAGAGGCAGTAGGTACCTATGAAATATCAGCAGTACTACCCACATCTGCTCAGTGAAATGACTCAAAAGCAGCATCAGCATTACTAGATGTTAACAAATTTCAAAATCCTAATGTTTTTAATATGGATTCTTCTTCTATATTGATAAATGATGTTTGCCTGCAGATTTAAACATATGTCATCCAGATTATAATACTTGTAATTATAACATGAGGAACTACACAGATTTTTTTCAGTCTCTGTACCAGACAGTATTAAGAATATTGTGACATGTCTAACCATTGCTGGGCAATGGGAGGTGGAACGAGTTACCCCAAAGCCAGACCCTTGATAAACGGTTGACTGCCAAGTTACGCAACAGAAAGGATAGCGGTGTTTCTCTGTGCCGTGCCTAGCCGAGCTGAAGTGCGCTGGTTGCTATGCAGCAATAAACAACTCTCGGCAGTGTTCCTGAGCAACGCCTGTAAACACGGTGTTTACACAACAGTGAAGCAAGGTGGGTTTTCTGCTGTCTGACTGAAGGTTTATAAGGGAGACTGGAATGCGTAAGCAGTGAGTTGAAATGTAGCAACTGCTGAAGCCAGTTAGTATTCAGAGCAACTGGCGGCAGTTGAAGTCTAGCAGTTGCCGAGCTCAATTGTAGCTAGTCAATTGTGAACGTGATTAGAAGAGTTTACGTATGATAATTTGTGATAACTGAGAAGTCAGCCAGTGAAGACTAATGAAGATAGAGTGAACAGATTAGTGTGTAGGGTTTGAAATATGTCCAAACCCATGACAGTGTTATAATAAATTGTAGTTACGACTTGTAGGTTGTTAAATAAACCAATTAAAAATCTGAACGGTGTCTTCAGTGGCAGAACACGTTACAATATTATTTACTCAGAATATTCTTGATTTCTGTTCCTAAAAAGTTAAACAACCATGGCCTAAAGGTTTCAATTTTAATGTACAAGCAGCAGGTAACTACTCTCTACACTCACCTCTCCAAATGTTGCATACAATTTCTTTGAATGAAACGTGGAATATTTGAGAACTTCTTGCACATACTTGTAATCCTTCGTGTACTGTAATTTGCTAAAAATTGTATGAATTTCATTCTGTGGTGGAGGTAGTTTCAGGTTCAGAGTTGCTGTAACATTACTTGCAGTTGGAATTGCAAGACTCACATTCGTGCCAAATCTATATATGAAACAAAATATGTTAAAAGTATTTTCTGCCAGAGCAAGAAATCAATATAAGTGTACTCATCTTATGTATTATATTCTAAGTGATGTAACTAAGTTCCCAAGTTGATTCTGCATGATATTTCATAAAGATGTTCAGAATAATTTAACGTAACCACTGCAGTTGTACATGTGCTGTAACTTATATGGATGGAAGAGTAATAATTGTAACACGGATCACAAAGAGAACATGGAACGTGCATAAGGAGGAGAGGCAATGCAACATCTTAGTGAATAACAGAACAATTTACGTGATATGATGTGCAGTTAATATTTTCTCATTCAAAAGTTTCACTTACTTCTTGAGATTTCACGAACTTCCTAAGTTTTAAAAATACCAAATATTTAGAAGAAGAAGCATAGGCCTATTAGTTTTTAGCATACATACATACAATATAATTTAAAATATCTCTTTCTGCTTAATGTTTATTTATTCAAATTTTTATAGTAAGAGTTAAATAGTCATAACGATATATTATTGTATAACTATCTCTATTCACTTGAGGTATGAAAATAACTGTACATGTCACATAATACAATTTCAAGGGACACTGCTTAAAATGTTTGGGGAAAACCAAAACAAGTGTTACTATGTAGCAAAATGGATGAAAATAAAATACAATATAATACAAATAAAAAAGATCCTGAAAGCATCTTTGAAACTTGTTTACTACCACAAACCAATTTCTAGACAACAAAATACTCACTGCCAGGTGTTTCTGTTAACATTAATATCCATCCCAACAGAAAACTGTTTAAACGCTTTCTTTGGATTTCTATAATACACCTCTGAAATGAGGTATCGTGACATATTCCTTGTTTCATATGATCCAATTATTTTGGCTGCCATGTTTTCCATAAAAATCCATGTCCATTCTGTGTCAAACTTCCCTTTAGCTTGTGTGATATCAAATACAGCATTCACTATACCAGTCTTAGCAGTTATCCTGAAGTGATAATTAAGACCAGTTAGTTTCATTTAAAAGAAATATGCATGTAAATAAATAACATAATGGAAAATAAACATGGAAATAAATCTCATCTTATGTCGAAACCTTGCATTCTTACAAATCCAATTAACTCTTTCAGAAAATGTAACAATACGAGATCCACTTAGGTAATGACTTTCCTGAACTTTTAAAATACTGAGCATAATAATGAGCTCAATATTCTTGTAGACTATATTCACAGTAACCAAAAGTCAGATAAGAATGTTTGGTAGTCTTTCAGCAAAAACTTCCACAGAGATCTGGTGTGGCCAAATAGACTCATCTTATTTATTCAGTACATTGAAAAGTTCAATATGAAAGTAAAAACTTGCTCAGCAAGCAGTGAAGCAATGACCCAAACAAGGATCTTTAAGTAAGCAATATTATTGGCAGAGGACATTAGTATATATTGTCTTTCATACAATGCAATAGAAGTTAAATCATGAGATTTGGAGGCTATACAATCCTCCTGCAATGAGACAATAAGGATTATTCAAGAACAGTATTTCCTCAAAATATACAAAGGATGAGTGATAATGCGAAGATTTTTAAACACACACTGAAAAGTTTCCTCACAACAAATGCTTTTTATTCAACAGATGAATATATTTCTGCTAAGCATGTACTCGTATAACATTTAATAACTATATTCCTTGTAATTTTGTTTATGAATGACAATGTAAATTATGGTTATTTGGTGAGTTTGGTTGTGTGTGGTTGTTTGCTGTTGACACGATTGTACTTCTAATATCAAGTCTTATTTTGATGAGTTCAATATCCAGTCCAATTCGGACAACAGATTAGTGAATTTATGAATTATGTATGTATGTAAGGCGTGGGGCAAGGACCTACTGAATAATTATACCCAGACAGATGTTGGTATCTGGGGTATCAGCCACAGTTGGGTAATGATTTTATTGCAATGAAATCAGGATACAAATTAAAAAAGTAGTTTTCAGTAAATTGTAATAATAACTTGATATTTATAAAGAAGTCAACAATATATCTGATTCTAAAGCGGATGCTTTCAATCAGTGCAACAACATATGTAATAATATTTTTTAACTTGTATATAAAAAACANAGTGGAGGAATTGTTTTGAAAGAGACTGTGGACCTGTCGTCTTGACAGATTACTGATGATGATGATGATATAAAAAACAAGAAATTGAATTATGTGAAAATATACAAAATTGGTTTCAATTACAATAGTAGATAAAAATTTATCAGTTTTCCTCCAATAGAAATGAGAAAAGACACAATTTTGTATGCCTTTTGAGCATTTAAATATTTCTGGAATTTTTAAAGATTATGTTCCATGAATATGTCTTACTTACAAGTAATGACCTCTAACCATTAGCCTCTCATATCCTTGCACAGACGTGTCTGCGTATGCTTCCAGACTCACATTTCCATTACTCTGTTTCAAAAAGCTCCCACTTACAGCAAGTGAACTGTATGTGGGATGAGAACCCTCAGCCTTCAAACAAAAGAGAAGAACAAACTAGTATAAGTAAATCATCAGAAGAGAAGATAACAAGTGGTCACTGGAACAGAAAAAACAACATTATATGTTGTTAATTTTATCTGCCCTGTTTGAGTACTGTTCCATTAAAATTCTTGATCAAATTTTAATATTTGAAATTCTGTGAAGTTACCTTAAAATTGTATTGTAATGTCTGCAGAAAAAAGGCAAACATTCTACTAAAATTCCATACTGATTTCTATGGACATCTGTTAGTTCTGTCATGGATTTTATTTACTCTTGAAAAAGTTAAACAATTCTGATATTTCTCATTCTTATTTTAATTTGTGAGCACATACATACATACCAGCTGTTATGATCAGGAAATATAAAGCATAAAACAAATTATATCATGTCAATATGAAATTAAAATTATCATAAAATAAGTTAATCTGTGTTTTCAACTTGCATTATGCTATAAAGCAATTCTGTACAGTTTCACTTCATATGTACCCATGTTCTTATAAACGTAACTTCAGCAAATGTTAAAACAAAATGCCTTTATATTTACTGCTCAGAGAGAAGATTTGAAAAACATAAAATGAACCTAATATTCAATTCTGAACAGGTCTTTTGAACTGTAAGGACAAACAAATTGACATGAATTTTACCTTCATATTAATTTTCCAGTTATTTGGTTGCACATCAAATTTACCCTCTACAGCAAGCCTGTTTCTCCCATTTGTAAATGCAGAAGTGATTTCAAACCTATGCTCTATTTCTTGGATGTGCAAAAATACACTAATTTCATTTCCACTTTTATGAGGTGTAACAATTTTCACATTTACCTGTAAAGAGATTATACACATACATATTAAAAAGAGTAAAATATGTAAAATATGCCATAACCTGTTGATATGACCCTGAATAGACAGAAAGAAAGAAAATATCACCTACATATTTCATTAGAGTGCAGTAGAAAATTGTCTGGTACTTGCATAGATTAGACCAAACACGTTGAAGTGACACAGTGACAACGTTTAATTTTTTGTAACTACACAAATTAGCATACCATTCGGAAAAGTTAAGGTTTTTTAAGATTGAGTAAACCTAAGACTAGAAATGGATTTTATTTGTGTACAGATGTGTCCCAATTCTGGGAACTGTAATAATGGAAAGGGGCCGCCACATGTCATACTTCTCTCTATCTCTCTCCTTGTTATGTTATAATAATGATTATTATGAAACATACCCAGAAAAATGATTGCCAAAATGAATGAACTGAAGAATTAACTGGTGTATTTAAAAACAAACATTGAATCAGCAACCGATTTTTCAGCAGTTCTATAGGATGTTTCATGACTTTATGTCAGTACTACTGGAGCTTAATCCTGTGGCCATTCCCGGTCAGAAATGTCATAATGGGCATGGACTGAATTGTCAGTGGTTACACAGCCCTGGATACTTGAAGTTCAAGGATAATTTACACATAAGTAAGCTGGTTTCTATTTTGCATAATTATGTCTCTGCCCTATTGCATATGGACAACTAAAACTAAATTAGTCTTTCTACATAGACTCTACAGTTTCATCATGTGTATATCAGTACTGTCATGGCGTCCAAGTCACTATGATCTCAGTGCACTATTTTTCACTGCACTGTCCTAAGTAACATTTATACAAGGCATACAAAGTTTTCTGTCAGTGCAGGCTTATGCAGCAGGATACAGCTTCCAAGAATTTCTCCATTGTTGAGTGATATATTAAGTGGGCTGTTGCCTAGAGATGGCCTGGCTAATGCTGACACAAGAGTGTGTTTGTTGCCATGGAAATGAGTTCACTGGCTTTTGACTTTTCTTGTTAAACTGTTTAAGTTTCAAGCTGTCATGTCACAATATGAATGGAAAGCAAACAGAAGCAGATAACAACTTCACTAAATTTTAAATGTTCAAAGATATCTAAATGAATACAGTTCTTGGTAGGGTTATATATATAATAAAAAAGAAATTAGAATGAATATCAAAGTTTAAGATAACCACTTCTAACATATACTATAAAATGAATTATGCAATGTAAGAACATGCTCATGAAAACAACTTAGTATATGTAAATTATTCTTTAAGTTCATACAGGCATACCAATATCTCCATAATTATCCCATCTGGGAATAATCCCAGGAACAAACTCCTGAAGTACTTATGTAAACTAATACACACCTAACCTATACAGCACTTGTCACTGAACACAGGAGAATTACTAATATAAAAAGCAGCAGAAAAATTAATATTCAATACAGGAAAATACCTAGCAGCAAAATACTGAAACTTGTTCTGTTATTTTGTAATGAAAGCATACAAGGTAATTTTCTTATGCAGTTAGTTATCTATGACATTGTTAGATCTTTTTGATTCCGTTTCAAAGAGTCTAGCAACTGTTTTCAGAAAATTATTTTAAGTTTTAGGGAAAGATAATGAGGATTTAATTTACTCCCCTTCTTGGCTTTCACAAACTGCACAAAATTCATGCCTTTGAAACAATGTTCTATTTACCTTGTAAAATCAGTTCATGAACATACTGCCACATTATTTTACATGAAACTATTGCAAAATGCCATTACCATTATTGGAACTTGAGGCGTTGCTTTGACACTACCATTTACATCATGTGATTTTCCTCCAGACTGAAGTACTGCTTGCAATGTTTTCTCCCCTGCACCAGTGGAGGTCAGTGTTCCATTCAGCTGTGCTTTACTATAATAAAAAAACTAACTTCAGTCAACTGATTATAACACTATGATTCATTGCACACTGTATTTATAATCTTTCAGAATAGATGAAGAACAGTCATCTTTCCTCATTCCTGAGATTACATATTGATGGAAAGATATTAAAATATGACAATTCTTCCTGAGATTTTTGGGTGTAGGCTCGAATTTTAGTTTGGTGAGCAGAAGTTGGCTTAATATTTCAAGTCCTGTAAATAGTATGTAGAACAATGTATGGATTACTATGTATAAAACTGTGGTACAATTATAACAGTCTTATGTTTGTAATTTTTCACTTATAATGAAAATGATAAAAAAGCTATATCATGTTTATTTCAGAGCTACTAAATCACATGTTTACTCATGCTGGGAACATTGCAATTAAAATTTCCATATGACTCCTTTCCTGATTATTCAATGTGGAGTTTGGTCCAAGCTTGTGAATTTATATATTTAGACACAGTTACAAAGCAAAGAGGTGTAGCCTTTAAAACTAGACAAAGTGTCATACATACAATGGATTTGGGATGACTCTTACTGGCAAACCGTTCACATAAAGGTAAATTATATTATTAAAATGATTAAGAAGTTATTATATATGTGCTTCTGCNTTGTGGATATGTTGTAATATCTTAATGACGTTGTCCTCTGGATTAATTTTATTGTAACTAGGCCTTTGACGTGTTCTATATCTGGTGGCGCCATCGCCAAATGTAGATCTGATGAACAAAATAAATTGAATTGAATTGAATTGAATAAAACTGTGGTACAATTATAACAGTCTTATGTTTGTAATTTTTCACTTATTGATAAAAAAGCTATATCATGTTTATTTCAGAGCTACTAAATCACATGTTTACTCATGCTGGGAACATTGCAATTAAAATTTCCATATGACTCCTTTCCTGATTATTCAATGTGGAGTTTGGTCCAAGCTTGTGAATTTATATATTTAGACACAGTTACAAAGCAAAGAGGTGTAGCCTTTAACTCTTCAGTGCCGGCCTCTGTGCACTGCACCGTCATATTTAAATTCACAGCCGGACGGCCTCTGTGCATTGCACCGCCCGTGCCGCGCTATTTTAATATTATNAAGTTATTATATATGTGCTTCTGCGTAGTTGCTCTCTCAATTACTATACTAATACAGTACAGCAACTACAGGGGTAAATGGTGAGACAGAACTGGGAAACTTCACATTCTGAGATAATTTGGAAGACATATCAAAAATGCAGTTCTTCTGTCAGTACAAAGCATAAGCTATATCTCTTTTTCATTTTGCATTATGATTTTTCTGAAGTTAGAAAAGAACTTAAGTACAAACTGGATTTACTTTCATATACATTTTAGTAATGGTGTATCAAGCAGTAGGAACAACAGTATGCTGACAGAACATAGTATGTTTATTCACCTGCTGGGACACTTAACATATTTAACATTTACCGCTTCAATCGCAATACATATTATCGCTTCTCCTATTTGTTGTTTACAACAAAGATAAATTCAAATTAAATTCTGATGTCTATAACATGAATAATAGACAAAAATATAACTTCCACCTACCCTCATCAACTTTATCAGTATATCAAAAAGGAGTCTACTTTACTGGCATAAAAGTGTTCAACAATCTGCCACNACTGGGAAACTTCACATTCTGAGATAATTTGGAAGACATATCAAAAATGCAGTTCTTCTGTCAGTACAAAGCATAAGCTATATCTCTTTTTCATTTTGCATTATGATTTTTCTGAAGTTAGAAAAGAACTTAAGTACAAACTGGATTTACTTTCATATACATTTTAGTAATGGTGTATCAAGCAGTAGGAACAACAGTATGCTGACAGAACATAGTATGTTTATTCACCTGCTGGGACACTTAGCATATTTAACACCAAATCTATCAAGTGAGTTATTATACAAACCTGAAGCCTTCAATGGGTAAATCCATATCAACTGTAAGAACATTTCCTTCCAGTAGCAAATAAACCTTCATATGTTGACCTGGTGCATATGACAGTTGAAAATCAAAAGATGCAGTTGAATCAGTCGGGTTCTGTGTAAATATCACTGATCCCTCAATAGCAGAGAGCTTATCATAAGGTGTTTCTAGCTTTCCTTCCAACTTGATGAAAGTATCCCCTTCAATATGCCAGGAACCTTCAAACTTAAACTATAAAATATAAGTACAGAATATCAATTTTAAAATACTGACACCAATGTGTATATAAAAGTATGGGAGAAAAACTAGTAATATTAAGAGAAGAATATATTCATAAAATGATTGCTAAGAGTTATTAATGAGATCGTTTTGTACTTTGGTCTGAAATATTTTTTTAGAAGTGTAAACTTTAAGACAGGTACACCAACAATTTTCCTAGAAATTCATATGGTAGAATTAGATGGGATAGGTGTGGCACTCAACCAGCAGCTGATTGTACATTTTAATACAGAAGTGGGATCCAGAATGATAAATTATGGAGAGTAAGAGAGAGCTAAGAGTACTGTACTGTAAGTACTATGAAGTTGTACATATTACTATGAGTTCACCGGTGTGATACTGTTCTGAATGTTCATCCCCCACCAAAGCATAAAACTGAAAATATGGAGGTCAGATTCTGTGAGGAACTAGGTGTATTTGATAAATTTCCTAAGTAGCACATGCCAATTTTTAGGAGATTTTAATGCCAAAACTGACAGAGAAAACATTTTCAAACCAACTATTGGGAATGAGAGTTTACACGAAATTGTGAGTAGTATTAAAAATTGAACTAGAGCAGTAAACTTTGTCACTTCCAAAAATCTATTTGTCGAGAATAAAATGTTCCTGTCTCACAACTTTCATAAATTTACTTTGACACACATTCAGATTGGCTACATTCTTATACATAAGAGACTGCAGACAAGTAGACTTGATGTAAGATTTGAGGCTTCCACGGCGGTGACTATGAAGAAAGTAGTCTTCTGGGATTTGGCACCGTGTATATGTGGTGTTAACCGACGTTTTGGAGGAACGTATCGCCTCCATCTTCAGGGTAGAAGAAAAAGTATAAGAAATCTGCAAGTGACAAGACCATGAGACCGTCTGCTTTTACCGTTCTCACGGTCTTGTCGCTTGCAGATTTCTTATACTTTTTCTTCTACCCTGAAGATGGAGGCGATACGTTCCTCCAAAACGTCGGTTAACACCACATATACACGGTGCCAAATCCCAGAAGACTACTTTCTTCAAGTAGACTTGATGTCTGATCTATCAGAGGAACAGACTGTGATAGTGATCACTCTCTGATGGTTATAAATGTTAGGAAGAGACTGACAGTAAGTAATGAAGCAACACAAAAACTTTACACAGTGAGATTCAATCTTAAGAAAATTAATGAGGTACAAAGTAAAGAACAGTGTCAAGTTAAAATCTGAAAAATGTTAGCAGCTTTGGAGAACTCAGATGATGATGATGATGATGATATCCATAGAGCTTTGGAAACTATCAGAAACAATATCAAAATTTCAACCAAAGAGGGTCTAGGTTATTATGGATTGAAATTATATGAAGATGATCGTGATGGTACTACTAGGTTTTCCTAGAAAAGCAAGTGTGACACAGTAGGTACACTAATATTAGAATTTAATATTCCAAACACAAGAAAGGCAGTCATGAATAGCCTCTATTATACTCTCATTCTTTGGACCAGAATTTTACTTTTATTCAAAAACTGCTGACAGGGCATTCTGTTACATGACATCTGGAAATGAGCCCCATGCTTGAAAACAAGTTCTCAGCAGATTAAGAGGAATGTTAAAACGAATCTTAAGGAACGCTATTCTGAGGCTATGTACTAAATTGCATAGCTCATGATAGGGTCAAAAATTTGACTGCTGTGTCAAAAGGGTTGAACTGTCAGGTTCCATTCAGAAAGACAGACATTTTGCTCTCTCCATGCCGATACCTAAAATAGAATAGAGGGTGTCGCGTGGTCTGTGCAAAGAATTCCCATTGTTGTTAATTTCGGTTTTTAGACCGGAGCCACTACTTTTCCATTCAAGTAGCTCCTAATTTATCATCACAAGTCTGAATGGACCACTTTTCAGACCCACCACTTCTCAGAAAATCTGCTAGCGCCGGGATTCGAACCCGGACCTCTGGATCTGTAGCCAGGAACTCTGGCCACTAGACCACAGATATAGACTGTACACATTTTTATATATAATTTCTCAGAATTCTAACCTTCATATATCTATACTCAATGATTCCCCAATTAAAGTTAACAGATCAAAAGTAGTTTATGTTATTAACTGCAGAGAAATTTACCTTGACAAAAATATGCCCTATTATTGCACAAGCCGTCAGGATGACTAAGTGAACAGTGCCTATGCTGCTCCTACTGCAAGAGATTTGGATCAGACTTGGCCTAAAAGTTGGAATAAAAGTGATCTTGCTAACTAAGCCTGAAAAGATTTTACTTATATAAACTTCACCACTAGCATAAAAATTAATCTCATTCTATTCACTGGAATGGGAAAAGGAATGAGGGGAGTCAAAATTGTCAAGGATGGAGAGTTGGGATGAAGTGATCACAGTGATATATGAAGAGAAATAGATGTTTATGGAATAACTCTTTTTTGATAATTGAACCAGATACTTACATTTTTCAGCGCAGTATTTAATCTATCAAGCTCAAATTCTATTTTCTTGTCCTCAGTAGAGAAATCCTTTTTTGCGGATATTCGAAAAGCTGATATGTTGTAAACAGGTGAGACCATGCTGAGACCCACAGATGCATCTATGTAGCCATCCTTGAGCTAAAAGTGAGGAGTACACTTCATTCATACTCACATTTATTTTACACTATTTACTAACTTATTTTTGGATTCACTACATAGCATATATCCGAGCATCTAGGAGAGCCCTTTTCCAGAATAATGTGTTAAACAAGGCAAGTAGATTATATAATAAATTGCCAGAAAGAATAAGAATTTTAGAAAATTTCAGAGGCTTTAAAAAGGAGGTAAAATCATTGTTGATCTCAAATACCTTTTATTCGGTCAATGAGTTTTTAAACTACAACCTTTATTAAAAATCGTCAAATTATGTTGGTGTTAAATCTTTCATCCACCTTTCCTGACAGTAATATATTTTTTTAAATGACACAATTCTCATTGTGATGGATTATAATCATGTGATTGATTGTATTTATGAAATCTACTGTATTTGCGTGATGTGATTTGTCTTGTTTTCATTGACTATTTCTGTATCCGTTGGTGTTCCAGCTATATGAGGATCCATGGAAATAAAATTAATAATAATAATTGTAAATATATTATCAGTTGTACAACAATGGAATCCTAGAGTACCACAATGCACGTGTTGCTTGTGTTCAACAAGCAATTAGATAAAACATGTTTAAATATGTACACGTGTATGAACTAAAGCACCAATGTACCAGACTCATCTGTCATCCTCCCTATTATTTCGGGTTGGCACAATACTACCCAGTGCTTGAGTGCCAAAGGATTGAGGAATCACTGGGATTGGATGACACAATTATACGAAGGCTATTTGTAAAGTAACCTCCGTTTATTTTTGGAAACTAATGTCAGAGAGGGGGATAACATACATTAAGGTTTTACACAACAAAGTTTGACATATCATGTCAAAACAACGTACACATTCTTAAAAATTAAATTAATATTACTAGATAAATAATGTAACATTTCACACTACAGAAAAAGCCCATACACATAAATATATGATCTTGTAAGTAGGAACATCATAATGTCCAGACTCGATAATGCGTGACTGTTTTACCTCCATATCTCCTCCAACTGTAAAATGGCTCTCGTTAGTCAGCAAAGTGAAATTGGCATGATACAATTTATCATGCATTTCTACAAAAGCAGTTATATCCAAGAGTCTTAAGACATCGAATGGACTGAATATTTTGAGTTTGGTGGTATGAATATCAATTTCTTGATCTTCTTCACTTTCATAGGTATAGTTTAATAAGAAGCCAGCCTGAAAGTAAAATGTTCAGACCATTAAGAATTCATGTTTGAAAAAATCATAAATCAGTAAGGAATTTGATGAAATTCACTGTTCCTAATTTGGATACGAGAAGAAAACATCTATATCATCCTACCACTAAGCTGACATTTGGCCGCGACATAGCTCAAGTGGTTAGTCACTCGGTTCCCACTGTGGCGGCCCGTCTTCGACCCAGGGTCTGGTCAAGTGGGATTTGTGGTGGACAAAGTGGCGCTGGGGCAGGTTTTCTCCAAGTACTTCGGTTTGCCCTGCCAATCTTCATTCCACCAATTGCTCCAGAATCACCCTCACCTATCATCTGGGGCTGGTACAACAGGCCAGAAGTGGCTGCAGTACAACAGACTTAGTCCCACCCCACTAGCATTAAAAAAAAAAAGCTGACATTCAGTAGTACAGACATTTCAGAATTTCATAGTATAATCTCTAAAGTGCACAATTTATAAAACATGCAAAAACTTCACCTGCACAGCAAGTAAAGATGAAATAAATTAAAATGTAAGGCTATAATCACATTTATAACAGAGCTGGAGTATCAGGTAAAAATTCTGATGACTTCAATGAGGTGAACCTAGACACTCATACTCCCGAAATTTCTGAGTAGCAAAATAGAAAGTTTCATATAAACAGTTTTTTTTTTCTTCCTGAATTAATCTCTTCTAAGAGTGTTCATCCAAGAATTAGTTTCCCCATCTTTTCTGGGATGATTTCTATTTATTTTCTAATGTGTTTACAATATGATGTTAAATCTGACAGTTGGTTTCCCAGCATTCTTTTATTTTTTTTTACTGAGTTCAAAGCATATTGTCATATGACTATAGATGGGGTTTGGATTGGTAATTGCATTTATCAAACACTTATAGAACATAACTATAAATCACTGTGACAAGCTCACCGAGTTACACACTCCAAATATCACCACAACAATGGCACACATAAGGTCTTCTCAGTCTTAACTAGCTGTTGCTTGGTAGCGGCTTTCCATGGCAGACATTCACCATCCTCTCAGTTCCTAAACTGTCCCCGGCCTCAGCTACCAGCTTCTCACGTCCCACAAATGCAACTCCCAAATGACTTAACAAGTGAACTACTAGTCCTCGTTACATAGCTCCAGCATGGACCACACAGAAAACACCTCTTCCATTACTGTTCCTTCTCTCATTGCCAGGGAAACATGTCCACAGGGCATTTCCCTAGCAATGGCTGTTGTACTTTCGCCTGTTTACACAACTGTTACTTAGCAATGGGCCTACATGTCACAATATATAGCAATTACAAGGCCAATGTGTAACAGACAATGAAATTTGAAATTAGATATTTGATCAAAAAATTAAATATTGAAAACAATTTATTGGTAATAAATCTTACACACATGAACTGCTAGGAAGGACACTTTCTGTTACTTACATTTTTCCACTCATCTTTCATCTTGCCTTTAAAGTCAAGAGACATTCCATAATGTTCACCCAGAACCACTTGAAAGTTATAATTGGATATCAGTTCTTTGAAACAGTCACATGGAGTTGTAAGGTGGAGTCGATTTGACATTGTAAAAACATCCTGAAAAAAATAAAAGAGGAGGGACTAACTCTATAATGATTATCACATCAGTAGATATTTTCATCCCTTGTGAAGCATGATAACGTTTTGACATAGAAGTTAAAAGATTGCAGGATTAAACATCTACTTACAACAAAATCAAATTCATCCCGGATTTCTGCAACCCCATCAGGAAGTGCCAAAGATGCAACAATATTATAGACAGTTCCTCTTTCATCAATGTCTAATGTTCCCTTCATTGTTGGGTACAGGACAGTGTCAAGTTCAATAATACCCATCCAGCTTAGCGCATCTTCAGCTTCATCTTCACTATCACCCTCTTCATAATCATAATCTGGGTCCTTTTCTGCTTGCTCTTGTTTGGTACTTTCCAAGTTTAAGTCTTTAAAGAGGGGGGGTTTTGGTGCACCATAAATCTTCAAGCCAAGCTATGAAGCAAAAAACAGTAACTCATGTATTCATTTAAACTGTTCTGTGTTCAAGTATCCTTCAGAAATATAGGTATACATAAGAAATCAATTTGATAAAGAAACAACAAAGGAAGAATATGAGATGGCTTAAAACTAATATCCTGTTCCCTAAATGTTGATATTTAGAATAGAAGACAGTTTAATCTGTTACCATATTGATATATTTCAACACAAACAAGAAAAGTTAATATAAAATTTGTATGTATCACACGAAGCTTTACACAGCTAGCTACAATATGTCATTAAGACAGAGAAAACAGCAACTATGTATCATCTGCATATTCACCAAGTTGTCATTTTTATATGACTTATGGAGCTGAGACCTTCTTGAGGAGCAGCCAATTCTGCAGCTACTCAAGAATTTTCCAGCATTTTATGGAACCTGAAGGTTCATTACAATGTTCACAAGAGCCCTCAACCGGTCCCTACCCTGAGCCACATCAATCCAATTCATACCATCTCATCCTATCTCTCTAAGATACGCTTTAATATTGTCCACCTTCCCAGTGGTCTCTCTTCTTCTGGCTTTCCCACCAATATCCTATATGCATTCCTCTTCTCCCCCATTCGTGCTACATGCCCTGCCCACCTCATCCTCCTTGACTTGATCATTCTACTTATATTTGGCGAAGAGTACAAGCTATGAAGTTCCTCATTATGCTGTTTTCTCCAACCTTCTGTCACTTCATCCTTCTTCACTCTAAATATTCTCCTCAACACCATGTTCTCAAACACCCTTTTTTATATACCTAATTAAAATACACAATTTTTAAGGACATTTCATAACAAATTATGATGACTCTGGGTCTGTCACGAACTGAAAATACATCCCAGTACTGCTGGCTTCAGACACTGTATATGTATGGCATACTTGTGACAAAGAGAATATAAATTATTACACTGAAACGTGGAAGAAAATCAAAACATTCTCTAGTGATGACAGAATAGGCATATTACCTTCACATCTGAAAGTACAATACCAACGGCAAAATCAAGCCCATCTTTGTATATTAATTTGGCTAAAATTCCATTCTCTTCAAATCCTTCCAGCGGTGTGTAAATTCGATAATTGTACTCAAAGTCTTTGATGCTCACATAGTGCCAGACTCCTGAAAATCCAAGGATGAATGCATTCCACCCACACCGGAAATCAATCTGCAGTCACAGAAATGTCAGAGGTTTAGAAGCAATTATATATCATCACACTCTAAAATTACTTTTCAGAAAATATACAGTTCATGTAGGTGAAGATTTTGTATACTTCAAATTTTATAAAACTCGTATACAAGAATGGCAGCAATGTTCCTAAAATGAAAAAGGAAAATTACACAGCTACAAGATGGACACAAAAGTGCAAGTTTCTGAAAATCCACAGTACTTTAAAACCGTGTTCATTAAAGGATTTATTACATTTTAAATGAATGATTATGTACCACAGAGACAAAACTAGGTAAAAGAGTGCAATTTTATTTTTCCAAGCCTAGCTCCTTCAACTTAATAGCATCTGAAAACATATACTTCTCATGCAAGAGCTTTAGAACTTACTAAAACTGAGAAGTTTCTAAATTCATTTCAGTACAGCTTTACAGAGTTAAGTACTTTATTTAAAGTCGACTGGGCATGTCTTCTTCCTTTGAACGGTGTACCAATACTTACTTCCAAGCATTTCTTGTGATCCACATTAACGGTTTTAGGTTATGTATACTTAAATCTTTACTTACCATATCATTTTTTAATTTTCCAATCACTAATGCTTTTGTCAAGAATTCCATTGGTGTTTCCAAGCTAAACTTCACATCAAAATCACTAAAGCTCAGAATGTTGAATAGAATCTCAATTCCTATACCACCAGAAGGCCCCTTGACTTCAGCTACAAGGTGCTTTTGTTCTTCTGAATAGCCAAACCGTCCAGTGATTGTTCCATACTTGTGAAATGGTGTAGTTATGTTGAATACAAGAATGCTATTGCTTAACTTCTTCAAATGTCCTGCAAAAGAGTAACATTTTTCTATACTAAATACAAATAGGAAATAATTTGTAGACTACACCTCTGCTTTTAAATAGCCTTTAAACTACTGTACAGTCAAAAACTGTTATAAGATTAATAACAAATCACTTCATCTAGGATTATCAGGGGATACAGCCAAGGAAGTTATGAAGAATAGGTATCTCACAGAGAGGAAAGACATATTTCAGTGGAGGTTCTGCTATTGGAGAGTTAGTTATTTACACAGACTGGATGTTTAAATCAGGCCCCATACTAGAGAGACCTGGGACCCCCGTGTGTCATGTTCTGTAAACTGGAAGTGTTATCTGTTTCCATCTCTTGAGTGGCAAGGATAGTCTCCGGCTCAGGTAAACCGTTCATATAAAATCTCAAACTATTGAAACAAGAAACATAATCTTCATTTAAAGTAACATAACACAGAAACTCTTTCAGGGCCACATAAATTTGTATGTTAATTTGACACAGTTTAATCAGCTGCATACAATACTTTCAATAGAAATGAATTCACTCTTTTTCAGCATATTTTAGGTAAATAAATATTCTGCTTTTGTTCTTTGCTGAATAGTTCATCAGAGAAAGAAAAAAACATGAGGGAAAGTGCAGTAGATTCAATTATCAACATAAGGATTAGCTGCCTTGGGAATTAACTGAGGAACCTTTCAAACCCTTCAGCTTTCTATAATGATTTAATCTTTGCCCACTACATCTGTTTTGGTAATGTGTATCAGTAATGTTTCAAAATACTTTGCAGTGGACTGTACATCATCTCATCCTGTTGCAATTTTCTCTTTTATTACTTAATGCTTTTAGCATTACCATTGAAAACGGTCTGCTTTCTTCCACTGAAAAAATATCTGTCTCACCGTTTGGTGATCAATAGCACAACCTGTACTGTACTGTGTAATTAATAAGAGCAGTGAAGTTCCAGGGCATCAGGAAAACAGAAAGAGAAACTTAAATTTAAAGGACTCATTGTGATGATTACTGATAAGTATCTTGGTTGAATGTAGCGTGGTTACTGGATATTTCCAGATTTTTAAATTATCCACTGTTTTAAATATCCATGCTATTTCTCCCCTCTATTACCATAGATAATCTACTCAACTGTTGACAGCTAAGTGTGAGAATACATACCACAGAAATGACCCAGTGAAGTACAATTCTACATATCCAATCCCCCATATGCCTTCATGATGTACTGCTTAATTAGTTAAGTACACAGACTTTACTCTACCTATTTTCACCATTACCACGGATAAATAAGAGTCCATGGTAACACTGTATATCAATGCAGATGATTAAAAAATAATTATTTACAAAAAAAAAAAAGCAGCCAAGAAGAATTACAGGTTCACTGAATCTGTGAGCATCTACATCCTAATTCAACCGTAAATCATATGTGGTCATCTACTAACATGTTAAAAGAATGGAGTATATTTTGTTAATGTTGAATTTGTTAGGGGCATCATCAATATTAAATGTTTCCCTGAAATTTATTTTTAACTCTTCTCTCAAAGATGTCCTTTTTTTTAAAATAAGATAATAAATTTTACACCGGCCCACTGACATATGAAGTTTACAGGAAAAATGACACAATATGCTATATGTATATTCTATGAAAATGAAGTACATCTTATCAGAGCAAGCACTTTGAAACCCAATAACAATGAATTCAAATTCATACCTTCCAGTATCAGTGTGTATTTCCTTGTATCAAGGTTCATATCAGCAGCTCCTGTGATGTCCCACTCATTACTCATATGTACTCTACAAAGTAAAGATCCTTTACGATATCCATCAAATGGTGAAACCAGAGAAACTATTCCTGTAAGGTTAGTAGATTCTGGACCTTGTTCATATTCCCATGTGCTTTTAAGAGTTATTATCTGTTGTGGATAATACTGGAAACAGTAACACAAATCCATTACTTTTGTGCTCAAATTTAACAAAAGATATAAGGTCTGAAATCATAGTATCTTTTATGTCAATAGCAATGTATAAAATAATGTGATACAATGGTAATATTTCACACATTTTATGGAATGTTTACAAGAAACAAATTATCAATTATTACATGCAGAGGACGGGATTCTACAGTTACATAAATAAAATCATGTTCCTGTGAGTTTCTTATGAGGAGACAGTAATTTAAAATGGAAAAAATAAGTTTCTCTATTCTGTGTGACCTTATGACATTCAAGTTTGATATGGGGTTGGGTAATTTGAGTTGACAGTGGATAATCCAGTTTATGAACTGCTATTAAAAGAAGTTGTTAAGAATGTTAAGTATTATCAAATATAAACTAAATAAAAAGCAAGATACAAAATGGTAAGACATCACAGACTAAGAAAGTGCCATGAAGTCCATATGTGACTATTGACTGGGACAAAATAGCTGTTCCAAACAATGATAAATGTCACAACATTATGGAGGTGTAAATTGAAATTATTGATTAATGATGTTATTCTTGGTGTTCTTCAGTTCCCACATGTAATTGTTAATACAGTTCATTAAAACAGGCTACAAATTTTACTCTCAGACACCAAAGAAATTTGTAAGTTATTGCCATTTGTTACCAATTGTCCCAACTTTCTTATTAACATTAATCTAGCATAAATATCTTACCTGGACGTGCATGTTTGTATCATATCTTTTGTTGGTTTGTTTGTGATAGAAACTTCCAGACATTGATGACACTTGTGGAATGGTGCTTATTATGGAAGCACTGAGTTCACAGAGCAAGTTAGTTTCAGAAATTAAGTAGTCACTGTAGAAATTCAATGCAATGTTCTGATCATCCTGCCAGTACACGCTCCCATTAGCTATGAATAAGTTGCCTTCATGCCGAATGCTAATCATACAGACACAACAAAAATTAGTGTCATTTATCAATATTATTTTCTATAAAAGAGTAATGGACCATCACTTACCAAAGTAATGTACCTCAAGTCCCTCATTTTTCTGCTGTCTTTCACTGAAAATGACAGTGTTACTTAAATATCTAATAAGTATGCCTTGTGTACTTAACCTAAGAAACTACAATGTGAATGCTCTGAACTGAAATACGAGGCACTAAAGAAACAACAACAACAACAATAATAATAATAATAATAAAAATTACCCATAGACAGGACGATACTCCATCATCATTATTATTCATCATATGCATGACTGAAATTGAAGAGAAATGGTGACTAACCAGATATTGAAACACCTCAATTAGCAGAAATTTTAACATTGATACTGTGCTATTTGTGGACAATCACATACTTGTGGCCATATTTGAAAATGATCTGCAATATCTTGAATAAAATTTGAGCAAATCACCTGCAGAGCTTTGTATAGAAATAAATACTGAATGCAATAAAATCATGGAATATTTATAATTATTTAATTTGTGGGAACATCCCACATTATCACGCATTTCTGCAACGCTCGCTCTTCACATCACTTTTCACCATCACGCGCGCTAACCAATCAGATTGCTTCAAACGATCGCATTTATACTACGCTCGGCGATAGCCCGCGTCTACACCATTACGCGCGCTAGCCAATCAATTCTTGCTCCTCACTTTCGAGTTTGGCTCCGCCCCACCGACCAGCGTATAAAAAGGAGCGACCCCAGAGCCGAGTTATTCAGTTCGATTCAGTTCACTTCAGCAAGCAACTTCAGCCAGCAGGCTTCGTCGCCAGCGCTCGGTCTTCGGATACATCGGCNATCTCGGGAGTGGCTGCCTGTAAGACAATGTAGAAGAACATGCAAGCCTACCAAATGATTACCAAAAATCCTGCCCACATAGGAATGCTGAACTGCTGCTGGTGTTACAACAGTATTTTTTCAGTTATAACTCACAAATTTAATTTTTCCAGAGAATGTTGATATGGATATTCAGTTACACCTTGCATTATTTCCTACATACAGCACTTCCTTCATCATTCCTAGTTTGCAACAAAACTTTAAAATCAAATGCTACTGTAAGGTATACATTTTCCTTCACACCACCAGCATGAAGACAATAAGTAAGGATTATAATGCTGAATAGAATTAGTTAATTTCATACCCTCCTGCAACAGATGTCCTCCTCCAGTTCTCAAAAGGTGTCAAGAGTTCACAATTCATCCTCACCAGCAAATTGTCTGTGTATTTATACATAGAAATGAGGGTCACGTCAATAGCATCCTTTGGGCTCCATTCCAAGTGGGCTGACGATTTGTAAGTGGTACCTGCATAGGGGGGGTTATAAGAGAACTGAATATATGCAGGATCTTATTTTCGTAAAATGGCTGTCTCTGCTAAGGTAACAAACAAACAAACATGGTGTAAGACATCTCCTATTATCACTGTTCACTGAGCTTAAATGGAAAATAAGCTTATAAACAGCTAAAAAGCAGGGTGTTAGCTGAGGGACATCACAGAAATAATTCAGTTTCCTGTCTTACTTGTAAATCATTTCATTTCCTCTTGCAAAATAATGTCATTTGAATTACGAATTTAAATTTTCTGAGACATGATGTACTTAATATGGGGTTAGCTGCGATTCCTTACAATTATACAGTTATAAGTTTCCACTCTCAAATCAAGAAGACATCTTTGAAACACTCCTCATGAGGGCATGGGTGTTGCCTGCTTTCTTCCTGTGGAGTGGGAGGGGGGAGTAGTCTTCCAGAGGGCAGCCAGTTCTTCAAGGGAAGCTGCCAGAAAATTAGCACACAAAATTACATTTGCGCCATTTATGGCACAATTCACTAAAGCAATATTCTTTATTTTTTACTATCAACATTTGGGATGTTTCCTTCTCTTTTTTTTTTGTAATCATTTCCTCTTTCAAGAATCTGGGGGGGGGGTTCAGATGCCTTATTTGCCTCATTCCTTGTTCTGATACATGAGTGAGGCCTGACAACCTATTGTATATCAACATATAGATATGTTCATAGTGTGATAACCAAAAATACCTTTAATAGCAAGATGAAAGTTCCCTTTTACAGCTCGACCAGGATAAGATATTAGGAAACTACCACTGTAATTGAATCGTTCTGGATTGACAAATTCAACAGCTGCAGCAAATTTCTGACCAGGATCTCGGTTCGCATCCCATTTTATTTCAATTGCCGCTTCCCTTCTACCTTCATGATTCATTCCTTTCAAAGCTATATGGATATCTCGGTGTCTGAAAATATAAGAAAAGCACAAAGCAATGAATTGCACCCTTCCTTGAGGACTACCACATTATTGTGGAGAGAAGGTGTGCATGCCCCAACGACCAAGACATCTACGCTGGTAGGAGCATAAGCTCTTGGTATGGCCGCCCATGTCAAGACAGATCAAAGGGTAGGGGCCAGGTGAAGTGTAATCCCTGGTCTTCCAACTTAGGGGGGTTGGGTGTGGGGGTAATGACCTCACTCCAAAAATATTTATTGTTACAAAAGCATGGAGGAGGCATAGACCCACACAAGGTTCTAGTGCCATTAAAGAAGAAGAAAATGAAGTGTCACCACTACCATTAATATTGTTGTCAATGCAGTCGCCACTGTCATCATTGATATCATTGACATCACGGTGGTTGTTGTGGTCATCTCGTAGCTTGTAGCCCTTGCTATACTCTTGTAGCAACAGATACACATACAACAACTGAAAAACTATCGAAGTAGTGTTTCATATTTGGTCCATGCTGAGGCTATATAACAAGGGCCAATGGGGCAATTTAGTTAGTCACCATTCCAAGTACTAAAACAATATCTGGTCATGAGTTTCAAGAGGCCTGATGCCAAGACAAACTGATTGGCGGTAAATCACCAGTCATAAAGTAACTCTGATTTGAAGCTGGTTAGTCCCCATCAGAGGAGAGTGTTGGACCCCCCCCTTTCTCCTTGAAGAGAAGGACCCATTTCAAAACAGCCAAAAATCTATAAAGAACAAAAATATGATGAGTCCTCATACCAAGAACGAATGTGCTGGCAAGCAGTAGCAGCAATTTACTGGACTGGACTGGACTGAAGTTGATTAGCGAGTTGAGAGTAGTACGACTCCCAGTGTCATAGACAGTAAAATATGGCCATGAGTATGACGGGTCTTGGAAACATGAATGACTGTGCTGGTGACGGCCAACAGCTCTTTCATCATCATCATCATCATCATCATCAGTAATCTGTCAAGACGACAGGTCCACAGTCTCTTCCAAAAGAATTCCTCCACTTAATGCGATCTAGAGTTTTCTCCTTCAAATGAGAGTATCCTCTTCTGTCCCCAAAGTCATCCAGCATCTTCTTGCGTCTTCTTCCTCGTCTTCTTGTCACTTCTATCCGCCCCTCTATCTTTCCTTCGATAACTTCTTTTAGAAGGCAGTTACCGCGTAAGATATGACCAATCCAATTAGCTTTCCTTTTTCTTATTTCGTGTAGGATAATCCTCTGCTCACTGACTCTAATTAACACTTCTTCATTTCTCACATAATCGGTCCAACTGATCTTCTCCATCCTTCTCCAACACCACATTTCGAAACTTTCCAGATGTTTCTGATCTACTGCCCTAAGTGTCCATGTTTCAGCCCCATACAGAGCTATGCTCCAAATGTAGCATTTCACTAGTTTCTTCCTCAAATTTAAGTCCAATTTGCTGGTAAAAAGATTCTTCTTCTTGCTAAATGCAGCTTTTGCCATGGCAATCCTGGATTTAATTTCACTAGTACACCTTCCATCATCTGTTAACAAGCTACCCAAATATTTAAAACATTTCACATTCTCCACTTGTTTTTGGTCTATCTTTATTGTGACTGGGGTTGGTTGTCTCGAAATTTTCATTACTTTTGTTTTTTTCCACATTCATTTCCATGCCATAGCACCTTCCAATTTCAATTAGTCTATCAATCATGCCCTGTAGCACAGTTTCTTCCTTAGCCATTAACACAAGGTCATCTGCATATTTCACAGTTTGAATAATTTGCCTTCCTACTTTGAAGTCTCCGAGCCCATCCAGAGCTCTTTACCAGACACATAATTCAGTTAGCTGTGAGACAGTCGCCAGCCACTAGGGACATGAGTATGGAAGCAGGAGAATATACACCTCTTAGAGCCATTACCTAGCAATGACCAGTGAAGACTATAACAGACTGAGGATTAAGTGATTTGTAAAGTGTATAAATTAGTGAGAGTGTTATAATCCTTTGTTGTCATAAGTTATAAGCATTCAATAAATCCAATTATTAATCCAAACCCAGTCCATAGTCACTAACAAATGACAATATGTAAACACTCAATAAAAAATGAGAAAATGTTTCATTATTGCAATAAATCACATTAATTTAACTTACTGGTCAAGATGCAACTCTAACAGCACTTGCTTGTGGTTCAGAAGATTAACAGCTGCAGTCAGAGTGTATATTCTCTTTTTGTAGCGCAAATCAATATATGTCTTGAACTCTGTTGAAGAAAGTGAAGTATGCTTCAAAAGTAGTGAGTAATTGTCTTGATTGTGGTCTGCCTGTTGAAACATTAAAACAGAAATAATAAAACAGCTATTTCAATGTTGATGTATTTACTGCCGAAGCAATATTATGGTCTTCTAGGTTATGATGGCAATATGTAGTGTGGTAGTGGGTCACGCTACATGGCGTCATAACACAGAAGACCTAAATATGAATCTTCACCACCACTGAAACATCAAAATTTATGGTGAAGTTATGTAACAATGTGTACTATGTCTGCGTCACAGCTCAAGCGGTTAGTCTCTGACTTCCCGCCGCGGCAGCCCGGGTTCGATCCCAGGTCTGGTTAAGTGGGATTTGTGGTGGACAAAGTGGCACTGGGGCAGGTTTTCTCCAAGTACTTCGGTTTCCCCTGCCAATATTCATTCCACCAATTGCTCCACAATCACCTTCACCTATCATCTGGGGCTGGTAAAATAGGCCAGAAGTGGCCTCAGTACAAGGGACTTAGTCCCACTCCACTAGCAATAAAAAAAAAAGAACATTGTGTGCTATGTGTGACACATATATATTTGTACAATATCCCAAAATCAAGTAAATGTAAATAATTCTGAAAATAAAAGAGTGTGAAAATGTAAACTTTTTCTATATACAGGAATGAGTGATAATGGTTGGACAGAAACACTCTTAGGTGTTGCATAGTTATTATAGTGTTTTAAATACAATAAGATGAGTAGCAATATTTAATTTCATTATTCACTACATCGCTCAACCATATAATAGAATGAAGAAAGTAGTGTTCTGGGATTTGGCACTGTGTATATGTGGTGTTAACTGACGTTCCTCTGTCCAAATCCCAGAAGACTACTTTCTTCATAGTCACCGCAATGAAAACCTCAAATCTTACATATAATAGAATGATTATTAATTTGAAATTAGACAATGGAACACATACATTATTCAGTCATGTGCCATTGCACAACAGGCTCTGTATACTCAAAACTTATAAAATATGTCTCTTTTACCTGAAAATCTATTTTAAATTCCTTGTCATCATTCAGAATTTTGCACAGTACTCCAATTTCGTTAAAGCTTGGTGACTTGATCAGCAGTTTCAAGTTATGAATTATAGCTTTTGTTGTTGTTCTGTCCTGGTACAAGCCTTTGGCAGTAAAAGTATGTCCGCTGAACCACATTCCTGCCACTTCAATCTGTAAGATAATATTATTTGACTATCAAAAGAACTTAACCACTTACTAATATAACTCTTGAAGTGGTAAGCATAGTATTTACTTAACACAAATTTCATGGTAAGAACCAGGCAATGACATGTTCCTTAATTGTGATGTGTTATGTAGCAGAGGTATGAATATAAGTAGTTACTATAGGATTCTGACGATGGTGTATAACACACTGATATATTGGGTTTTTGGACTTTATCCATCGTCCTGGTTTTTAAGATAACTAATAAAAACACGACGTTTCGGAAACTGGATCTGTTTCTGTCCTCAGGTGAAGGAAAAACCTATTCTGTTGGGTCCGTTAGAAAGAGCTAGCCTCAATCACTGGACGAACCAATGTCACAAAACATGAAGATTATAAACACCTGAGACCGGGCTAAGTCCATGAGAGCTAATAAGAAAAATATTCATAACAAATTGTTGCAACCACATACAAGCGTGGAACTACGATATGAAGGTAAAGTAAGGGCAGCTACCCTGTCAGATAATAATTTTTTCTGAGTCCATTTATAAATGAAAGACTGCTCTTCTCACTTACGTCATATTCTTTGGGATTTTTTTCATGTATCTTCAATTTCAGCAGCATGGGATTAAATGAAGGTAGTGTAACATTCAGCTTAGCATCAACGTATATCAGGCTGCCACGCGGAATAATCAAATCCACAGAGATTACAACTTCTTTACCTGAAATAGCAGAGATACAATCAAGAAACCATTTCTTTACAAATTACATTTCTATTCAACATCTTTGTCTGTAATAACACAGATATGATTATGATCCAATCTTCATTAATTATATTTATATTTTTATTTATTCCTTAATTCATTCATGAACAATGTTGGTCACCAGCTGAGACTACATAGCATAGAATATCAGGATGATCAGGGAATAAAGAATTGGAAAGAATGTGAAAGAAAGTAGTTATGACCTAATTTGAGGTGCTATCAAAAGTAACCACAATTAATTCAACCAAAATAAATAAAAAATCACAGAGATATTTCACGAAATTAAAAATAAAATACCAAAAATTAATCAGGATAAAATATAAGGAGATATTTATAATAAAAGACTGGAAAAACACAAGAAACCTGAGCTCTGATTACTGGTGTCCTGATCCAGATTCAAACTGGGCACATCACGATACAAACCAGATGTATTACCACGTGTGCCAACACATTTGTTAATTATATGTTGTCTCTAAAATCAATACAACTTCCAAACAACACAAATAAGGGGCACCGTTCAGGTTACTCAATACTGCTGTGATGTGATCCTACCTAGTTTGACATAGTAATAAACTCAGAGGAGTCAAACACATGAATGTCAGCATAAAATTTCAAATATGTCACTAAGGGTCACAATAGGCAGTGCCCTAGCTCAAGTGGTTAGTCACTTGCTTCATACCACGGTAGCCCAGGTCTGGTCAAGTGGGATTTGTGGTGCACAAAGTGGCACTGGGGCAGGTTTCCTCCAAGTACTTCAGTTTCCCCTGCCAATCTTCATTCCACCAGATTCTCCATCATCATAATCACCCGGGGCAGGTACAATAGACCAATCAGTGGCCAACATGCTGAGTAGACCCAGCTGGACTCCACCCCACACTATGTGAAGGGTCACAATAACTTTTCCTGCTTTCTAGTATCAAATTGTACAAAATACTAAACAGGACAGTAACCTGAAACAGCTGAGAGATTACAATTTCAATTAAATCACCTTTTATTTGTACAAAGTAGGGCAATAATAATAATCATGAGGCAAAACCTGCCCCAGGGCCACTTTGTCCACCACATATCCCACTTGACCAGACCCGGAATCGAACTTGGGCCGCCATGGTGGCCCTAATACACTAAATTTCCTGAGTGTCTATCATTTCCTTATCTTTTGATAAGTTACACATGAAAAAGAAATCACTTAACAAACAGACCATTTTCTACAAAATGCTCTACTGGTACACATGGTGGAATGGATGGAAAAAGAAATGGCTGGTCTGAGAAGGTGGGAGGGAAATGCTCTGAATGTCAGCTTTTGATCACAACAAAAATCAGTAAAATGATAATCCTTACCTGTGGCATACTGAATCTTAGCTTCAGCTTTATGGGTGGTACCAATCAAATGGTATAAGAAACTCAACATAATGTTAATTTCACTTAATGGTTTAGTAATACTGAGAAAGGTGTTCAATTTGCAGCCTTCTAGGTTCTTGTGGTATTTAAACACCAGCTGAATGGTGAGTTTATTGTTCTCATTTTGTGACTGTGGCCCAGCATTAATCTCCACTGTACATTCAACATGGCCTTGAGATTTCTGCAGAAAAATATACAAAAGACTTCAAGAGTACAGATTATATTACATGTTAAGTGCCTGTGTACACACTACAGTCAAAATATATTTAACATAATTAAAATCTGTAAGTAACTTAAAGAACTATAGTCACCTCACATACTGAAAATATTAACCCACTCTTCCCACTAATATATTATTAAATGTACCAGAATGAAATTCTATTTTACTAAGGTATAGATTCATTAAATATAAAGATCACACTTACAAATAATATAAAAGAAGAAGTGAAATTAAACTGGGGATATGCTGATGATTCCAATTTTAAATTCCCTTTAACCTGAAGCAGAGAATTAACAGTTCGATTGCTCAGTTCCGCTTCTATTTTAACACTTTCTGTTTTTTCTTTTGGAAATTTGTAATCAAGTTTCAAGTTTGTAGACACTGATGCTTCACTCTTTCGAACATAACCAAACAATTTCATTAATACTTTCTTTGTGCTAAATTCTAAATTCACATCGCATTGTGAAACACCTTTCTTTTCAATCCACTTCAAGTTCCCTGTAAAGAAAAACAAAAGACTTTTATGTAAACAAAAATTTATTAATGCACAGAACTTCTAAACAAATTAAGGTGTACATCCTTGGATCTACTTGGAAATGATGATGCGTTATACGTGTTTTGCACATTCCATTTAAATTTATGCACTGGATTTTAGAATGTTCCATGTGGCAATGAACATTTCAATTTTACCATTTTATTCTGCATTAGTTATGCCAAAGTTTTCCTTTTATTGTAATGAGAAAGGTCACATTCTTGTGTTCGTGTGTGTATACAGGGTGTCCCAGGAGGAATGTGCCAAACTTCGGGAGGGTGTTCCTTATGTTAAAGTATGCCGATATAACCNAGAGAAACCTACATAATGAGAAACTTCATAACTTGTACTCTTCTCCAAGTACAATTAGAACGATCAAGTCAAGGAGGATGAGGCAGTCAGGGCATGTAGCATGAATGGGGGAGAAGAGGAATGCATATAGGATATTAGTGGGAAAGCCAGA